AACCTGTAGCAACCCTCCCTAGTCTACAGGGAACCACACCTTAATTAACCTAGGGTTTATATACTTCCCTTCTACCACTTCCCACTGCTCCCTGGCCTTCCTGTATCACAGCACTTACACTTCAGCGAAGTCAAGGCGCTCATGTTTCAGAGCAGGCTGCACAGTAATCTGTGTGTAAGGTGGCTGAGGGCAGTGATTGCCAAAGCAAGAAACTGATTGGCTATTAGGTGTCTTGGCTTCATCACCAGTGCCTATTCAACACATGGTTATGACATCGATTGCACTACTGCTTCATTTGCATATTCAAAGCAGTGACATCTGGTAGTTTACCATAACAAGCTGGGGTAAAATGACTGTTCCTGATCCTGTTACAGGAAGGCTGCATGTGTACATGGACACTCCCCTTCAAGAAGGTGCAAGTGGCTCATTGGAACACCTTAGCCTGATGCTTGAGAGGAGAAGTCAGGCATAGACCACAGGAGCCAACAGTATCTCTTGAGCAAGTCTTGGGAGCAAGAGAACATGAATCCAGTCCATGTAGGTGAGGAGTCAGGCACTGCTCTGAGGATCCAAGAGCATACCCCTATGACCCAGGAGGGGGAGGAAGGTACCAAGAGTTTGGTCACTGGAGGTGAGGAGTCAGCTGATGTCCTGATGACCCAGCTGTGCCCTCTGGGACTGGAGGAAGTGGTGACCAAGAATGCTCTACATGATGGCCTGTCGGAGCACTGCACCGCACAGGCCACTTCTGACGGTGAGGAGAGATGTGTGTCTGGGGAAGGTGAGAGGCCTATGTGTACAACATCCTCACATAAACATTAGATGCTGCGGCACCTCCAACCAGAGAGCTCTCCAAAGAAATGGCATTGTGAGGCCCTTGGCCCAACTGCGTCTTAACTACCAAGGTGCTTGTATGGCCACAACACCACAGTGCCTTCGAATATCACACAAACATTCTTTGATCAGGCTCCAATTTGAAAAGGTGCCGCAGGCACTCAACACCCATTGGCTTTCAGTGGGAATTGGATTCCTAACCCCCAGGGAAAATCCTAACCTCAGTCCTCACAGCGTCCCCCTTAGGTGGGAAGGGTTATCATCTCCGCTTTACAGATGAGGAACTGAGATACTGAGAGAGACTGGGCTGAATTCTCCTGTCTGCCAAGTTTTTTTTTTTGCCGCATGCACTTCCTGTGCTGGAGATGCTTCTTCAGGCATTACCGGACTGTGGTAAAGAAGGCGTGGAGAGGTGGTGTGGCATTATGAGGCTCCACCCACTTCCTAAGGGCCTTTAAGTCAGCAGCATAAGCCACATTCCACTGCAGCTTTCTCTTGCACCGGAACTAGGCATCTGAGAATCAGGGAGCTGCGACTGGCTTCCGGACAGCCACCTCTCTCCACTGCACCCAAGTTAAGTGACTTGCCCAAGATCACACAGGAAGTCTGTGGTAGAGCTGAGAATTAAACCCTCATCTCTTGATTCCCAGTTCTGTGTCTTAAATACAAGACTAGCCTCCTGTGAATGCCAGAGAGGGAGGAGCAGCAGGTATTTCTATATTCTTTTTTCCACCATGCACCCCTTTTAACCAGCTACTGCAGAATTTTACCCTCTCCCTTTTTATCAAATTCAGAAAATCCCAGTGAAGCTTGTGGGACAATAAGGCAGGATGTGGGAGAAAAGGAGGACAAAGTGCAGCCGGCACTGGAGATGGTGGCACTGAATGATTGCAATAAGCTGGTAGGAACATGCGCCATGTCTCTAGTGTCTCTCTCCCCTCACACTTCTATGCACTTTAATCCAACCATCCCATGACATTTATCATTCACTCAGAAACACTGCATAAATGCCTAGCTGGACTAAGTGCCTAAGGTTCTGACCTCATTCTGTCCAACCAGCACACACATTCGGGGGCCAAGTAGCTTGTGGTCTGATTTTACTTCTGTAGGGGTGTGTGCGCGTGTGTACTTAATAATTTCCTCACAACAGAGAATGTGTGAATCTTCAGGAGGTGTTTTGATGGGAGAAGTGTTTAATGACTGATGTTTGTCAACTTTCCACACTAATATCACATGTTCTTTCCTTGCTTGGGTGGGTCCACGATCCAAGAAGGAACTCGGCAGGGATGTCAGCGGGCACGGACAGAAAACAAACTCCCTTCACAGCCAGAAACTCATGGTTGTCAAGCAGACTGTGGTGAGTAAGATCTGCCCATGTGACAGAGTGGGATGGATGAGCTATATCTAGAATTTCAAGGAATGCTGTTGTTGCTCTGCCTTATGAGAGCACAGATGAGACAGGCATGGGCTCAGACACTCCAGAAGCAATGAGCTGTGGGTATTAATTAAGCAATTCCATGTTATCCAAATAAAGGTGCTCATTGAATAACCAGAGGTTAGTGTAGAGGGAGGAGTAGCTATAGAGGGTGTGATGGGGCAAGGCCAGATGGCTACAGTAAAGTAGTGAGGAACAGTATTAGTATCAATGGTCAATGCGGGTCTGGCTGGAGAATCTTGCCCGCATGCTCGGGGTTCTGCTGATCGCCATATTTGGGGTCGGGAAGGAATTTTCCTCCAGGGTAGATTGGCAGAGGCCCTGGAGGTTTTTCGCCTTCCTCCGCAGCATGGGGCAGGGGTCGCTTGCTGGAGGACTCTCTGCGACTTGAAGTCTTCAAATCAGGATTTGGGGACTTCAACAGCTGAGTCAAGGGAGAGAATTATTCCAGGAGTGGGTGGGTCAGCTTTTGTGGCCTGCATCATGCGGGAGGTCAGACTAGATGATCATAATGGTCCCTTCTGACCTAAAGTCTGAGTCTATGAACAGGTATGTTAGCCCCAGGCTAAACAAATCCCTGGTACCATGGTAACCAAATGGCAGTTGCTCCAGGTTAATCAAGACACCTGGGGCCAATTAAGATCCTTCTAGAAGGCAGGAGAGACAGCTAGATTGATTGGGACACCTGAAACCAATCAAGGACTGGCTGGAACTAGTTAAAAGCCTCCCAGTTAGTCAGTGAGGTGTGGGTGGTAGCAGCTGTGCTGTTGGAGGAATGAAGTAGTATGAATCCATATCAGGTGCAAGGAAGGAGGCCCTGAGGTAATTGTGAAGAAGATATTGAGTGGGGGCTGCTGTGGGGAAGTAGCCCAGGGAATTGTACACGCCCTATTTCCAAAAAGTCAGCTTCCATAGCTGCTAAGTTTAGGGTCCCTGGGATGGAGCCCGGAGTAGAGGGCGGGTCCGGGCTCCCCCTCTCCCCTCCCTGATTAATCACTGATACTGGGAGACAACAGAGACTGTGTGAGGGAGGGTTGTTTCTCCTCACCTCCCTTGCTGGCTTATGATGAAAATGGCTCAGTAGACTGTGACCCTTGCCTCTAGAGAGAGAAGGGCTATGTGGAGGGTCACAGTGAGCCTCTGAGGCTAGCAAAATCCGCCAGGAAACGCAGGACCCACGGAGTCAAGGACAGAACTTTGTCACAAGGGCCACATATGGGTGGTGAGTTTTCCTGACACAGGAGCACTGTTCCAATGCATGTCTTTGTGTATTTAATTTGGAAGGACTCTATTGCAAGCACCATACAAAAGCCAGAACCCTAAGCGTTACCTGGTCACAAAGGAGATCCAACCAGCCCATCTGTGCTGCCCAGGCAGCAGCAGACCAACCTGGCACCAAGTCAAACTTTCGGGCAAGCCACCTCCTAGTTCAAGTGATCTCTTCCCCTGGGGCGAGGGAGTTAATGCAGAATCCAAGAGGAGGCCCAGAAAATGGTCAAGAATAAACCAGCTGGAATAAATGAGCCTTGCAGAGTACTTTAGAGGTAGCCAGTGAGTGGCTCTGGCCTACATCTCCTGAGGTAAATTCGTCAGCAGAGGAGACTCCACCGAGAAATCTCTATCCCTGGCCCTGTTAGAGAATGGACTTGCCCCAGCTCACTTTCACTGTCAAGCGGGGACACAGGGCGAGAGGGTCAGAGAGGGGAGTGATTGGGTCTGCTGCTCATTATGGATTTATTCACTTGGGGGGCCTGGCTGGGACTTTGGTCTGGCCTTGGGGGTTAGCTACCCTCCCTGTGCTCTCTGGAGATTGGGGTCATCCCCTTGTTAGGGCAGAGGGACAAACACTGGGGTTGGCAGGGCTGCCAGGAGCTCATCACTACGTTTGTCTCCTCTGTGATTCACAGAAGCACATTAAATCGCTGCCGCAGGATTCGCTGGACTCGCACTCCAGTGCCGTGCGCCGTCAGGGGATTCTGCTCATCACAGACTGCAGGTACTCGGACGTCTCGCCCTGACTCTGTAGAGCCAGGAATCCGAGCATTCAGAGGGACAGAACGGGGAGCACTCACCTCGCTCGCCGCCTGGCTGGGCAGGTTGTTCAGACTGACATGCAGGATCTTGAATCCAAGCACTTGTTACAGTGAATGGTGTCTGAATGGAGTCTCCCCTCCCGCTCTGTCCAGATGTTTGAGGAGGTTCCCCTGTGAGTGTGGACTAATCCTCCCACCAGCAACGATACAGGATGCCAGAATAGCCACACCCCTGCTGCTTTCCCCGATGCCAGTCCTACACTCTGCCAGCACACGAGGAAAGGTGGTCTCCTGGTTATGGCCCTGGACTGGCACTCTGGAGACTGGGGTCACTTCCTGGCTCTGCCACAGACTCCTGAGTGGGCATGTCAGTGATTCAATTTCCCTTCTGTAAAATGGGGGTAGTAATGATACTTCCTCTGCCTGTCTTGGGTAATTCGATTATAAGCAGGGCCCTGTCGCTAAATCTGTATGGCACCTAACACAATGGGGCTCAAATCTCAGTTATGGCCTCTAGGCACGACTGTAACACAAATAACAATAATAATTAGCCCGGTCCCTGCTGTTCTCATCCACGCTGCTCCTTTATGCTGAAAGCATTAGCACAAACCTCTGCCAGCCATGTTTTCCCGTCCTTTCTTATGGCCCCACAGTGACAGAATGAAAGTTCCGGTGCCTCTTCCACAGCGGGAATTCCAATGGGTGCTTATTTTTCTACTAGCAAAGTGAAGCTGCCTCTGGAGGGTAAAGAGAAGTTGGATGTGGTCATTGTCTGCGTTACCAGCATCTCTGCCCTGCCCTCAATCGAGGCCTTGCAAAGGCAGGAAGGCCACAAAGTAAATGTGAAGGTAATTCATTGTCCTCCTCTGAGCATGTTGCCTCTGTGTCTTTTGGTTGGTTTACACCCACTCCCTTGGCTTGCCTAGAACCTGAATCTGAATCCTTCCTGCGCCATCAAATGTTGCGTAGGCACAAACAAGGCTCGACCATCCCTGTGTATCCACTCTCTGCATGTTCTCCATGTGTTACGTCCCATAGGGTTCCCTCTCAAGATCCTGTTTGATGGAGGGGTTCTTTCAGGCAGCCCATTTCCCATGTTCTTCCAGCTGCCCAATGGCACGCCTGCCACGGCAGACACACTGGCTTCATTCTTAACACATGGCCCAGATAGTTCCATCTCTTTTTCTGCAGAACTTTGGGAAGTTGTGTTTCTGTAGCTTAACTCCTTTCTAGGAGGATAGATGGTTGGCCTATCACTTGACTCCCAACCTGGAGGACCCATGGACTGCTTTTCATCTGGTCCCCACCCTTTGACATGTCCAGCTTGGGTGTCCCTCCCAGGAGTTACAGCTCTAACCAGCATAACTCACAGGGTCTTTGGCGCGCACAAGCCTTCACACCACATCAAAGTACTGTCTCCAGGGAAGTTTGGTTTTCCTAGAGCTGATTGGAAAAGTTTCCCCCTTGGTGTCTGGTGAGTAAGAGGCATGTGCGTTGTGTGAGGTGGAAAAAAGACTGGGGATAACAGAGCAACGAGGAGCTCTCTCCACCCTGCTGAGACGATTACACACCACGAAGCTGAGTCCTTGCTGGGCTTTGGGTCATGAACAGTGTCCTATGCCATGCTGCAGGAGGAGCCGTCTTAGCTGGTTTCATATCAGGCCTCCTGGCAGTAACAGCCAATGGAGGGGTCTGAAGCAGAGCTTGCAAAGTGTGTGTGTGTGTGGTGTCGCAAGACCCCCACAGACAGGCTCCTAGACATCACGGGCTTTGTCTGATGCCAAGTGCTGTGGCTCTTCTTCGTCTTTTCAGGATTTGTACAACCAGACTGTGGATGCCCTGGAAGTGATGCTGGGAGCTCTCCTGTCAGAGAAGCCAAACCCAGCTGAGCTGCAGAACTTCTTGGATGTAAGCAGCATTGAGCTGGTACGGGCAGAGGGTGGGGGCATTGCCATCTTGTGGCAGTGTGAGGAGGGGAGGGTGCGAGGGAGAGACGGGAGGGGTTGTGTTTCTGTTGTCTCTCGAATGGGACCCTATGTCTTGCTCCCTAGAGCGGAGATCAGGTGTAGTGTTGGCTGCTTCAGGGCAGTGGAAAGAAAAATCATTTTCATTGAAAACAGGGGAAAGGAAATTTGATATCACTTTTCAGGAGGCTCGTCCTGTTCTTCACAGCCAAGGACTCCCTTTGTCCTTCCTTCCAGTCGCTGACAGCTATGGCAAGGCTCTCCCTTTCCCCTGTCCCTTTCCCAGAGGAGTGGGAATGGAAGGTGGGTCTCTAGCATCAGCTTGTGGAGCATTAACTCTGGGGTCTCCTGTCTAGCTTGGGGAGTTTGAAACCAGAAGCGCAATAGCAAAGACTCTCACTCTCCTTCCTACAGAGACAATCAGACGTGGAAAAGTAGGAATGGCTCTCTGGTGCAGAGGGACCCACTTCTCCCTTCCTCTCCAGAGGGATTGAGTGATCCACGGATGGGGGAGTGGTATTCAGTGGTATTCAACCCTCTTGCTTCCTACCTAGAAAGTCCCTGAGGTCCAGGGAAGGGGGAGGTGCGATCTGCCTGAGTCTTCTCTGATTCTCTGGACATGACCGAGGGCTCAGAAGGAGAATGGGACCAGCCCTTTGGAGGGATGGAATACTGCAGCAGTCCCTCAACGCAGTGGGCTGATTACAGGACACTGCAATCCTGATGAACACAGAGGTGAACCGTATGGGGCTAAAGCCAGATTTACCTCTAAATAGGGTATGTGTCAGGGGAATTGTCCATGACACAAATCCTGAAGGGGAGCAGGACTCAGACAGCCTGTCTGGTTAATACCGTGGTGATCAGGTCAGAGAGAGAGAGCAGCTTTAGGGGTTCACTGCAACACATGCCCCTGTTCTGCAGTTTCTAACACAGGCCTCCCTTGCTTATTCCTGCAGCACTTGGCCCCCTGGATGACATCAGAGAAAGCTCATGAGCGAGTGAGGGCTGTGAGCACCAGTGTCTGCCTGTACAAGCGGCAGCCGAGAGTCCTAAGTTCTGTGTGAGTGATCTCTGACCCCTGGTAGCCTGACACCAGGAAGAATGGCCCTAGGCCATGCTCTCTTCCCCTCATGTGGGATATTTATGGCCACTGATGACAGGTTCTCCTTGTCCACCAAACCAGCACACTGTTTCCTTCCCCCTTTGATTTTCACTCAGATGTCACACGAATTCCCCAGGCTGAGGCTCCTGATTGGATGGCTGGCCCTGCATGTTGGTGACCCAGAGAAGGAGATTGGCCACCAGGCTATGGAATGCTTGTATTTCCTCTACTCCCTCATGTGGTGCCAAAAGGGTAAGAGGGGGCTTTCTGAACTCAGAGGACCCAAAGCTCCTGCCTGTGAACAGCTGGACCCTAACCCTGTAGGAACAGGCGTCTTCTCGGAGAACTAGTCTAGAACACAGCTTGTAAGCAGATGGCCATCTTCCCTTCTCTATGCTATAAATGGATTAGTTCAGAAACCCCAATAGGTCTTTAGGTGAGAGCCCTCTAGGGCAGTGGTTCCCAAACTCGGGACGCCGCTTGTGCAGGGAAAGCCCCTGGCGGGCCGGGCTGGTTAGTTTACCTGCCGCGTCCGCGGGTTCGGCCGATCGTGGCTCCCAGTGACCGTGGTTCGCTGCTCCAGGCCAATGGGGGCTGCGGGAAGCGGCGCAGGCCGAGGGAGGTACTGGCCGCTGCTTCCAGCAGCTCCCATTGGCCTGGAGCAGCAAACCGCGGCCACTGGGAGCTGCGATTGGCCGAACCTGCAGACGCGGCAGGTAAACAAACTGGCCCGACCCGCCAGGGGCTTTCCCTGCACAAACGGCGGAACAAGTTTGGGAACCACTGCTCTAGGGACTTTGCTGCTACTGTTGATTTTCTGTGGAAGTGCTCAGGTGCTGAGATGATGGGTGGCACTATAATACTCATGGAGGGATGGCTGGAGAGCAGAGCCACTGTTAATGAAGGTTACATTTAAAAGGGGTATATTCTGCAGAGGGGGTAAGGGCAGAGTATGCCCCAGGAACGAAGCTATTTGATGAGCTCTCCAGAAAGGTGGAATTGCTCTCATTAATAGTGTCTGCCCTATTCTGCTCCGATTCTTACCCCAAAAGGAACCCCCTACACACGTGCGTGCACATTCTCTAAGCTGTATTGTTTTCTTCTAGGTGCCAAAGATTGTGGACAGGAGCCACTCCCAGCTCAGAGCCATCCATCATTCCCATGCCAGACAGGTAGTGATGATGGCCTTATGCTTCCTGGCTCGTGCTTTCATGGAAGAAGTGTCCACAGCCCTTCTAAAGTGTCCACTCCCGCTGGACAGGTATGAAACTTCCTAATGACCAGGATACTGAGAGCTCACTCTTTGGGTTCCTTATTCTTTCCTCTCCTCCTGAGATGTCTCAGACTGTAGCTTCCTTGTTGTGCAGAAAATGTCTTTCTTGCCAAGGGTCGATTACACTACTAACCACTGAGAAATGAGACCCTCTCCGGCTTCCAGCCCAGGAAGCTTCTTCTCCATCCATCTCATAATGGCAGGAATCACAGATTTGCCCAGACGCCCTATGTGATATTTACTAACTGTGCCATTCGATGTGTGCCACTCGCTTGCTTGGAATGAGTGGAAGGGGGGAAATCCCACTGAGGAGAGCACCTGGGGCTAAATTCTCAGTCTGCAGAATTGGTGCATGACCACATGTACAGCTGCCTGTGTTTGAAAAACAAAAATCTGCATGTGTACATGGGTTCTTGCGTGCACTGGTACCATTGCTGGACATGCTCTCCCTAGACTCTGGATGCCTCAACCCCAACTTAAAATTCACAGTAGTTGGTGGGGGGGAGGAGTCACAGTAGATGGCTGAAGTCCATTGCTCCTGCCCCCCACAACCACCGTCAGATACAGTCCCAAAACATGATTTCCCCAGGCCATTGAATAACCCTCTTCAACCCTTATCCTGTCTCCTCCCCAAACAGCCAGAGTAAAAGATGGGCTTTGTGGTGTGTTCCGAAGGGTGACCAGTCCAGGCTGTAGCAGACCAACAAGGAAAATACATTCCACAGCTCCCACTGTTCTGTATCAAAGGCATTGCAGCTTGAGGGCTTTCAGAAGCTGCAGCTATGGCAATATGTTATGGGGAGAGATGGACTCCCAGGTAACCCAGACATACAGCGCTTTCTTTGTTGGTACCTGTGATGGATTCCCCTGGGGGTGCCATCTGGAAGTGGGATACCACTGAGCCCCCTTGACCCACCAGCCTGGGCTCCCTTTTACACTGTACTGCTGTGACAAGCTGACAAGCTCTCTTCAGGCTTCAGCCTGCACTTTCACCAGCACACATACAGGTAGGGACACACCCAGCTGCAGTTACATGCAGATGCTCTGACCAGCTACTGCACGGGAAGGCTCCAGCTAGGGCATCTCCCAGTTCATAAGGCACGCACCCCTTACGGAGTGTAAACCCAAAATTATACCATCTTGCACTGCACGGGGGAACTGTACAATGTAAGCTCATGAAATTCGCCCCCTCCCTCAATGTGGAGAGGAATATACCACAGCTTTCTGCCCTGAGTTATGACTTCCACACACTGGTTTTAGATAAAGCAAAACCAAGTTTATTAACTACAGAAGATAGATTTTAAGTGATAGCAAACAGATCAAAGCGGATTACCTAGCAAATAAACAAAAAACACAACCTAAGCTTAATGTACTACATAGATTGATATGGATAGCAAATTCTCATCCTAAGTGATGATACAAGCAGGCTGTAGATTCTTAAGGGGCAAGCTGCACTTGCTTACAGCTTGAAATCCCCAAGTGCTCCATTCACAGGCTAAAAATCCCTTTAGTCTGGGTCCAGCACTTCTCCCAGTTCAGTCTTTGTTCCTCAGATGTTTCCAGGAGTCTCCTTGGGTGAGGGAGTTAGTGAAGAACCCTGATGATGTCACTCCCCTGCTTATATAGCTTTTGCATATGGCAGGAATCCTTTGTTTCAAAGCTTGGTTCCCATGCCAGTCAGTGGAAAAATACTGACATCCCAAGATGGAGTCCAGCACTAGGTGACCAGGTCACATGTACCTGTAGTGTCATAGCAGCTATTACTCGGAGGCTGTCTGTAGAGTCCTCAGGAAGCCTCCCCAGGTGGGAGATAAGCTTCTCTGAAGGCCTATTGTTCTCTCTAATGGCTCATTAACTTTAATGGGCCCTTCCCAGCCAGCCATCTAGACTGAGAGCCTTTTGCCTAGTGGGCGTTCCCCAGGTTAAACACATTTGAAATACAGATACATAGTCAATATGCCTAACTTCAGATACAAAAATGATACCTGCGTACAAATAGGATAATCATATTCAGCAAATCATAGCCTTTTCAATGATATCTCACATGACCTACCTTGCATAAAATACATCATAACAATGTCATAATCATATCATAATATCACTGTGAAGAATATGGGTGCAGTGTCACCGTACCAACACCTGGAATTCCACTTGGAAGCCCATGTGCAGCTCCTAGAACACCAAGGTGATGTGCTTCCCTCCATTCAGGAAATGAACTGCTGCATTCTGGACAAGCTTTCGCTCCTGAATGGTATCAAGGTGTAGCCTAAAGGGGCGAGTGGATTACAGGAGTCTAATCTCAAGGTGACAGATAAGATCAGCAAAATTCCCATGTCCAAAACCAAAGGTCACGCTTGGCTTACCAAGCACGATGAGAAAGTGCCCTTTGGCATGGCTGTGCCCTGGGCTTCAGTAGTAGCCTTGAGTCTAGCATGACCCCAGAGCTGTACGCTGACTCAGAAATAATGGCTGTCCTCCATTGAGGTTAGTGGAGGTGATGTGATTCTAGACAGGTTTTTCTGGTTGTGTCCCACAACCTTCTCACAATCTCTCTGCCCTGCCTGGGCTGAATCTCAGCCAGCTCAGCCTCATCCAAGCTCCAGTCTCCTGTAGATGCGGGGCCATCCAGTCCCATTCACCAGCGAATCAGCTGTAATGATGATATACAGCTGGGTATCCTTCACAAAGAGCAGGCACCATTGCCCATGTTTCCTTTGTCACCCACCTAGTAGTCTTGTGTACACCTGAAACTAGAAATGAGAGCAGAACTCTACAGGATTCCACAGAAGATCAGTCTGGGGGTGGACAAACTATTCCCCATATTCACCCTCTCAGCCATCCCGTGTATATAGGAGCAAAGCCACTTCAAATGGGTTCCATCTACTCCTAAGCACACTTCATGATCAGCCATATCGAAGGCAGCTGACGTGCTGTCTTCATCTGTAGCCAGGAGACAATCAACCAGTGCCACTCGTGCAGCTTCAGTCCCATACCCAGTTCTACACACAGGATGAAGGGAAGCTAAAGACTGCAAATATTGCCAGAGTTGCTTTGTCTCCACCTCTGTGACGATCCTTCCCAAGAGTGGGAGATCTCATACCGGTGGTAGCAGGACCCAGTGGGCTAGGAGCCCCCTCACATTGCAGGCAGTAATGGTCTGTTCATGGCAAGGGTTGTACATCCCCAACCCACTGTAGATGCTAGGTCTGTAATGTGGCCAGGTATATGTGTAGAACCAGCAATTATCTGTGACAACCTCACATGTGTGTGACCTGACTGTATCTTGTAGGTAAAAAATATGGCTGGTTATCGTATAGCAGATTGCAGGTCTGACAGTGGTCTCAGCCCACCATGTTATCTCAAGGTGATGGAACGTGTACCACGGGTCACTTACTGCTTTAGGTACATAGTTTTGTTTCCTTGGTATCTGGGATGAGGCCTCGTTGTAGTCACCATCTCTCTGATGGAGCCCCTGACCCTAGTTTAGGTGTCATTTGTCCAGTCAGACTGTGGTGTGGCAGAGCTATATGTATCCGATCCAGCGTGCGACTGTCTCTCTCAACTCGTAGAGATGCAGCTGGGATGTGGAGAACACTGGCCAACACAGAGGCAATCTGTCACTCCCACAGACTTCTGGATGTGCTGCTGAAGGAGCTTCAGGAGAGGCCAAGTACCTCTGAGGATAGAGCCTTCATCATACCTCTAGCTGTAAGAAACAATTCACACATGACTCTCCCCTCTCTTCAAAGAGGAGAGAGGTCCACGTCTGAGAGAGATATTGCTGTGAATTCTCCCTGGGGAAGGGATGGGGAGCGCTGCCCTGTATCTCTGGCAGAGCCCTGAAAATGCTCCCATTTTCCATTTCTTTGCCTTCCGCAGGAAATGCTGTGTCCCAGACACCAGCCATCTTGTCATACACGGCTGGACAAAGCTCCCTGCGGAGCCCATCAAAGCTGCTACTTAATGACCTGGAGGGGACCTCACTGGTGCCATTTCCTCTGTTCCCCCAACAGGGACTGAGCAGTCAGTCTCCTCCCACTGTCTGCAGCACTCCACCTCCTCCCTCTCCTCTTTTCTCCTTCTCAGGGTCCAAGCAGGCTAGCTCCTGCCTCCATTGTCAGAGGGTGGGTGCACTGCCTCCCATCTCCATAGTGCTTCGTCTCCCCGAGGCCTGAGCACACCACTTCGATAGCAGCCTCAGATACAGCTGGTCCTGGTCAGTGGGACTCAAGCATTTTCCAAAGGAAGTCCGTATCATTGTCCCCATTTTACAGATGGGGAAACTGAGGCAAAGCGTGGGGCAGTGACTTGCCTAAGGTCACCCGGTGGCAAATCTGGGAACAGAATCCAGGTTTCCTGAATCCCAGTCCAGTGCTCTGTCCATTAGGCCATGCTGCCTCTTCTTTGGCATTGAAACCCTGGTCTCCTGCATGGCAATGCAGAGCATTACGCGAAGGGGTGGGGGTACCATGACAAAACAATCCGACCTCTTCTTACTGGCAAAGCCCTGGGCTAAGCAGCCGTGCTGGGGTCCATGCAGCCGAGGACTGGCTATGAAATGGAAGGGCTGGGGAGAGGCAGAGGATTTTAGCTGCATTTGTTTCCCTCCTCCAGGCAGCCAGCGCTCTGTGCGAGGTGTTATCCGTATCCATGTGCACACGGACGGTGACACGCTTCTATCCCCACCTCCTGATGGCTCTGCTTGTTCAGGTGCACTATACCATTGGGCTCAGCCTGCCCGACAGCGGGGTGTCCAGGAAGGAGCTCATCCCTGCATGGTAACTACTGAAAGGACGAGATGCTAACTGTGTATATCAGACTCCTCCCTGGGTTCAGCTGCCTGTATAGGTTACTTGTCATCATGTTCCAGGTCTTTTATGGCTTGCCCCCACCCTCCCTATCATAAGAACGGCCGTACTGGGTCAGACCAAAGGTCCATCTAGACCAGTATCCTGTTTTCTGACAGTGGCCAATGCCAGGTGCCCCAGAGGGAATGAACAGAACAGGTAATCATCAAGTGATCCATCCCCTGTCACCTATTCCCAGCTTCTGGCAAACAGAGGCTAGGGACACCATCCCTTATCCATATCATCTTTCATTCACTATCAAGAGGTCGACTCTTTCCTCCAATCAGCCCCCCAGTGCCAGCCTCCGTCAAACAAGCACCTTCACTGACCCTGCCACATGGGTGGTGCTCCCCATAAACATCTGCCAAGCTATTTCCAATCCCTTCTTCAAATGCTCCTTTGCCATGATGCCTACAAAAAACTCGACAACAGTCAGGTTGCTGGGGTGCTGAGACCACTGCCTGCCATGCTGACTGATACTGGCTCATTGTTTCCTTGTGCTCCCCCAGCTCTGTCTCTCTGTCCTCGTCTCATGCTGAGATGTAACCTGTTTGGAGCGGAGACCGTCTTTCATTTCTTGCTTTGTACAGCACCTGGCACAATGGGGTCCTAGTCCAGGACTAGGGTTCCTAGGTGCTACTGTAATACAAATAAATAATAATCTATAAGACTCTATCGTAGCTCCATGCTTTCCAGATGCTCCCACCAGTGAAGTCACCCCTCAGCACCCCAATGCTCCTCTCTCTTACAAACAGTGATGTTACAGCTCCATGCATGTGTGCTGTGGAGGGTGGAGTGTCACTGATATGTTATAGTGCAGTCTCTTCTATTTGCAGTACGCTTACCCGCAGCATGGCATTGGGCTCAACGGCTCAGTTATAGCACTGCAGGTGCCGCATGGGAGCAGTGCGGGCTTGGTCTCGGTTGCCGTGCTGCCTGTTTTAGGCCTCAGGGCAGTGACTGTGCATTGGACATGCAGTGCAGGGTTGGGGTTGCCATCTCTGACATTGCAGTGCACTGCGAGTCCCATCTTGACACAATGCAGGTATCTGGGGGGATGGGATAGAGGATTGCTCTGAGCAAGGCTGGTGTCGCTTTAATGCGGGTTTTGCTCTGATTGCAGCTGTGTTGTGAAGACAGTGAAGACCCTTCTCCTAAAAATGGGATGCCACTACGAGTTCACCTCTGTTGAGAAGGAGGGAGGCTGGGCACTGCTCACTAGCTCTGAGGAGCACCATCGCGGGGTAGGCCTGCTTGCAAGGTGAGAGGCGAGAGCTTTGCTCTTGACAGATCTTCCCATCCGTCCCTTCTGCCAACTGCTCCCCCCGCCGACTCACCTCCTCTGTAATAAGGGCATCTGTTTGCTCCCACAGAGCCATGGTCCACTATTCTTGCGGATCTTGTACCTTCTGGTCCCGTTCCTCGAACGAGGTGATAAACAGCACAAGCTCACAGTGATGGCCTTTTTCGTTGAGGTAAAAGTTATTGGCTCACATCTATTGTGGTACAAAAGAGCATGAGCTGCATCTTCCCTTTCTGGACTGGTCAGCTGACCTCGGACTCCAAGTGTCTCCTATATCTGATTCACTGAGCTTTTGGGGAAAGCCTGAATAACCCTTGAGAGTGTTCAAGAGACTATGTGCATGTGTCAGAAATAGCGATAATACTTTGCCCTTCTACAGCATCTACCTTCTGAGGCTCTCAAGACACTTTGAACATTTCTCCCCACCACAGCACATTGAGGTAGATGAGTGTTATCACCCCCATTTTACAGATGGGGAAACTGCGGCAACAAGGCCTTAACTCCCCAAGTCACATAAGAAGTCTGTGGCAGAGACCAGAATAGAAACCTTTTAGTCCTGTGCTTTGGTTTGTGCTCCTTCTCTTTTCCTAAATGTAGGTTTATAGTATGTAAATATCTTTTATAGACAGGCCAAAATTCTCAAATGTGGGTACCTGGCTTTGAGTACCCACTCCGTCTTTAGGCACCTGAATAAGTAGCCCAGTGTCCATAAGTGCTGAGCACCGGAGTTCCCATTGCAGTCAGTAGTTGCACAAAGGGGGTGTGGCCAGCACGCTGACTCCCACACACTGGCCAGTGGTCTGAGATCATGGCTTGGGTAGCATATGATTCACCTGCATAATCTCAAAAATCTTATAGTCAGCCCAAGGAATGGGCATCATGCCCACTGCAGACACAAGGGATGGTTTTTGCACTTGTTGGTGCGTGGAATAGACTTCATGCCCACAAAGAGAGAGTCTGTGAACATCTGGAATGAGATTCTTACCTGCCTTGAGCACAAGGAGCAGGCTTCATTCCCCCTCTAGGCATGGCAAATAGACTTCATACATGCTGGAGCATTTACAGCAATTTCATGGTAATGTTCATCCAGAGAACAGACAGACAGCTGTCTGTTTTGCAGCCTGTTATTGGCCTGCTCTTTGTCTTTTTAGCTTCTCCATATGCCACAGGCAAAGCGGCTCCCAGAAAAATATTCCGTGCTCCGTCTGCTGAAAGGACTGACTGACCCAGATCCAGTTATCAGAGCACTGTGCGTCAAAGGACTGATTACCATGGCAGACTGGCCAGGGCAAGTGAGATGGAATCCATTTCATTACACAATCAATATCCATGTAATTACTCCAGAAGTATCAGTAACACTAGTAGAAATCTAGAGTGACTCTCTCTGCTGATGGAAGTGAAACAGACTCCATTCCTGTTTGTGCAGAGAACTGCTGGCCTGGATCAAGGCTAGGTGAACAGCATCTAAAATTGCTCCAGATCCCAGCCTTTCAAAGCAGACCCAGAACCATTTATCTGGATCTGAGATCAGTGAGCAGCATTTAATATTGCTCCAGATCTCAGCCTTGCAAAGCATATAAAAAACCCTCTTAACTGGATGTACTTGAAAATGCTACTACAGATATCAGTGAAACTTTCAAGGAAGAGGCATATCCTCATTGATAGAGCACTACCAAATTCACGTCCATTTTGGTCCATTTCACAGTCATGGGATTTTAAAAATCATAAATGTCATTATTTCACCTATTCAAATCTGAAATTTCATGGTGTTGTAATTGCAGAGGTCCAGACCCAAAAAGGAGTCTGCGAAGTTATTGTAGAGGGGTTGCGGTACTGCTACCCTTACTTCTGCACTGTTGCTGGCAGTGGGGCTGCCTTCAGAGCTGGGCAGCTGGAGAGAAGTAGCTGCTGGCCAGGAGCCCAGCTCTAAAGGCAGAGCTGCCATCAGCAGCAGCGCAGAAGTAAGGATGGCATGGTATGGTATTGCCACCCTTACTTCTGCGCTGCTGCCTGCAGAGCTGGGCCCTCAGTCAGCAGCCGCACTCTCCAGCCACCTAGCTCTGAGTGCAGTGCAGAAGTAAGGCTGGCAATACAGTGACCCCCTAAAATAACTTTGCGACTCCCCCTGCAACTCCCTCTTGGGTCAGGACCCCCAATTTGAGAAACACTGGTCTCCCCCGTGAAATCTGTATAGTAAAGGGTAAAAGTACACAAAAGACCGGATTTCACAGGGGAGATCAGATTTCATGGTCTGTGATGCGTTTTTCATGGCCGTGAATTTGGTAGGGCCCTGCTCATTGGGTATCTAACACTGCACACTAGAGACAGGGTAGGAAATAAATTTCTGCATTATTGGATAAAATGCAATCTGAGGGCTGTGTATGGATTATAGCACTGGTTTTCAACCTGTGGTCCACAAACCCCTGGCGGTCCACAGACTATGTCTAAGATTTCCAAAGGGGTCTGTACCTCCATTCAAAATGTTTTAGGGCTCCACAAATGAAAAAAAGGTTGAAAACCAGTGGATTATATTAAAAAGGGCTAGGATTATACAGTGTCATCTTTTACGCCTTTACATTGTCTATTTTTGGCTACTTTAGTGCCTGGTCATGTCCTAGAAAAATCCGTTTATTTGAATTGTCATGGCATAAATGTGAGCAGAAATCAGTCATGTCATTAGCAATGAAATAAACGCAAAAGGGAAAAGAAAACCTCATGACCGCTTTTGTCAAGGCTGCTTCCCCACTCTGAACTTTAGGGTACAAATGTGGGGGCCTGCATGAAACTTCTAAGCTTAACTACCAGCTTAGATCTGGTCCGCTGCCACCACTCCCAAAGTGCTAATTCCCTTCCCTGGGTAGCCTTGGGAGACTCTTCACCAATTCCCTGGTGAATACAGATCCAACCCCCTTGGATCTTAGAACAAGGAGAAATTAACCATCCCTCCTCCTTTCTCCCACCAACTCCTGGTGGATCCAGATCCAACCCCCTTGGATCTAAAAACAAGGAAAATCAATCAGGTATTAAGAAAAAGTCTTTTAATTAAAAAAAAAGAAAGGTAAAAGAAAACCCTCTGGGAGAGATTAGCATACCAGCTCTCTCACAGACAACAGATTCCAAACACAGAGGATGTTCCCCTGGGCAAACCCTTAGGTACACACACAAAAAATACCCAAAATACCCAATTTGACTATTCCTCTAATTGCACAAGACAGGTTACAAAGAAATAAACATAAACCTATTTATTTCCTTCACTAATACTCACTACTTAATAAGAGGCTGAATTCTGGAGCTTTCCCACTCTGGTCCAAAGTGAAACTCAACAGACAAAGGGAACTTTTTTCCTTCCCTTTGAACCATCTTGTCCTCTCATTGGTTCCTCTGGTCAGGTGTCAGCTAGGCTAGGTGAACTTCTTAACCCTTTACAGGTAAAAGAGGCATTAACCCTTAACTATCTGTTTACGACAGCTTTGTTTCAAAGTTTTTTTTTGTTGTTTTTTTTTATTTGCCTCCTATATTCACACATGGTGAGCCCCAAAAAAGCCTCATACCATAGCTAAGACCAAGAAGTGAATTAGGGGAAGGGAAAGAATGTGACATAGGCTGTAATTTACAGGGAACAGGGTATGAATTCTGTGGAAAGTCCATTTTAAGCTAACCTTGCCATTTTCTTGGGGGCTTTTTCAGTATTTAGAAAAATTCTCACATTGGTTGTTTTCTTTTTAAACTGAAAACCAGAATCCTTGGTGAGACAGTGTGGGGTAGTTACTGCATCAACTTCTTCTGTATAGGAGATAAAGGTCCTGGTGCCAGCCATGATAAACAGCTTGTGTGGAGTGGACGGGAGGCTGGTTGTGGAGGCTCTTGCTGATGTGAGGAAGATTCTCAGAGGCCTGGATGTAGCAAGTTATGTTGGCTGCATCACCAGTCCCCTTAGGCTCCTCTTTGATGATGTAAGACAACGGTGTGTGTGAAAGGGATGAGGGAAGGGGAGCCGAGGAGCATGTCCCTTGCACACCAGCAATCAGTTGTATCAAATAATGGAAGTGAAACAATGTCACTCTTCCTGCTTTCAGTCCCTTCATTCTTGCTCCTGCCCCACCACAGTTGTCTTGTGCCTGTCCCAGCTCAGTGGACCCTGCTGTCTATGACTTGGAGGCACAGCCCATGCTGTAGCCATGCCTAACAGGTTAGGCCCCTACTATGGCATGTGATGGGGGCTGTTTATGGTGTGATACACATATGCCACAGCTACGCATGTTGTACATGGCATATTCAGTCACACTACACACTTTGTGCAACCGAGTGAGGCTGGAAAGAAGAGCGATTTCAGCTCTTATCATATATACTGACCTGTTAAGTGCTGAGTGCCCTCAACTGCTATTGATGAAGTCAGTAGGAGATGAGGGGACTCAGCACCTTGAAAGATCAAGCCCTGTATCTGTATATAATGCATCGCGAACACCATGTGGCACAGCTCTCCCTTACCAAAAGTGTGATGCATTATGGTAGCGGTTCTCAAACTTCATTTCATCGCAACCCCCTTCTGACAACAAAAATTACTACAGGACCCCAGGAGGGGAGACCGAAGCTTGAGCCCGCCCCAAGGGCTTCAGCCCCAGGCAACCCTAGCCCCACTGCCCAGGGCTGAAGCCCTTGGGCTTGGGCTTTGGCCCTGGGTCCCAGTAAGTCTAAGCCAGCCCTAGCAACCACATTAAAATGGGGTCGTGACCCACTTTGGGGTCCCGACCCACAGTTTGAGAACCGCTGCATTATGGGAAATGTAGTCCAACTGGGGATGCTGGCCCATAGAGGAGAATGGGAATACAAGGCACAGACTACAACTCCTGTGGAGCACTGCAATTCCCATTTTCCACTGAAATCTTTTGGCCAACATATTTCAGTTAAAAAACACATTTTCCACAGAAAGCAGGCTCTTCTTGCGAAAAAATAATTGTTTTGTCAAAAGCCCTAATATGGACCATGGAGCAGCATAAACATTGCAGTAATTTTCATTACAAACCAAGAGGAGTACTACTGTTCACTATCAAGACCCCTGTCTTCCTGACTTCCTCTGTTTGTGTCTCTCTCTCAGGAGAGAATGAGTGTGCGTTCTGCTGCCATTTCCTTGTTTGGAAAAATGGTCAAGAAGGTGACGAAGAGTCAGGGGCTTATGAAAGAGGAGGATGTCTTGGACAGCTTGATTCCATTACTTCTGCACCTGCAAGAGGACAACCCTGACATGGCTGAGGCAAGTTCCTACAGTCATTTAGCTCCAAGCCTCAGTCATCACTATCCCCAGACATCTTTCTCCATCTCCACCTTTCAATGTAGGATCTTCTCCTAATCTATCTACTCTAATGTGTTTCCTTCTGGAAAAAACGTAGAGCTTCCCTATCACCTCGTGAAGAAGAAATTCCAGGAGATTCATTTTCATTGCAGGTTATTAACAGTTGGAAAATATTGCCAGTTCCCAGGCTTTTAACTGTGGGAACTCCATCCTGTCTTGTAGAAATGTAAGAATGTCTTGGATGAATGTTATTGACTCCTGGAATGGAGACTACCTAAACAGGTGGGCAACAGGAAGGCTTGGCACAACCACCAAGAAGATGTGGATGAAATCTGTCAGTATCTTGTAAGTAATTTCTGGGTTCATTGTTAGAACTGCGTGTTGATTTGGTTGAGGGAGGGTTTACACAGAGTAAGATACCCATTTTTATCAAGCTGTGTGGGTAGGCTTATGAGGAGTTGTGTCGGGCCATCCCTGTCATTAAGCTTTCATTTTGTGCATTATTGATGTCTTAGGTGAAGAAACATCAGGAAAATGTCCAGAGGTTCTTGTTCTAAAGCCAGTGCTACCTCAGCAGCACACAGCCTTCTTTACGAAGGGCTGCAGCCATATTCATAGGTAAATACAGAAAAATGTGCATTTCTTTAGCAAATTCCATAGAAGCACTTTTTCAATCTTTTGCGCCGTTCCCTCTAGTACTGCAAGTTAATTGCTTTTTGCCAGATACCCTGATTTCTTGACCTTATAGGATTTAGTATTTGGTGCACTACAGAACCAGGAGTCACTCCTGGATTTTGTGCTATCAGAATACCCCTAAGGGCCCCACCCATCAGCAACTAATCCTGTGGGAACCTCCAAGATTCCCCTGGATGCTCCTATAGGAATTTCTCTGCAAAAATGTATGTCATCATCTTGAAAGCCAGCCTCTCAGTATGACCCCAATCCAAAGCTCATTGGAGTCAGTGGAAAGACTCCAGTTGACTTCAGTGGGCTTTTTAATCAAGTCCTATCTCCTTAGCTTCTCCATTTCAGAATTTAGGAACTTGTCCAAATACCTGACGGCATCCTTGTGTGAAAGACAAAAACTGTGCAAGTCCCTATCGGAGGGTGGGAGAGTAACGGGAATTCCCTGCTTTTAATGGCATGTTCAGGGTTCCTGGTTATGCACATGGACAACATGATGAGAATGAAAGATTTGGACATCATAAGTAATGGTAAGTAAATACCTCATTTTTAAATTCCTATGGCCTTGGATGAGTATGTGTGTGTGTGTGTGAGTGTGTATGTGTGTCTGAGGAGGCATTGGGATTTATATGCACAAAGATCAGTACTTTTGCTGTGCAAGAACTGTATAAATAGTACTGGTAATAGTTTGAATCTATACCTCTTCTTCCTCTATGCTTTATTCTTGGTGGCACCCCCAATCGCATGTGTTTGACTACCAGTTCTATCAACACTAATGACTCTCAAATCCACTCTGGACCCATCTCTCAAAGTTCAGTCTCTTTTCTTACACACACTGTCCAGCATCTTATATTGGTTGGCTCACCATTAATTCAAACTCAGTATGACCAGAACTAAACTCTTTTACTACTCCCTTTTTCCAATGTTGTAGGCAACACCACCATCCTCCTTGTCAACCAGACCTGTAACCTTGAATCATCTTTGTCTCCAAAGCCTGCCACGCAATCTTGACTTCTTTTTTGGAGCAGAATTAGAGTGTTGGTGGGTGTTGGCCACATGTAATAGCCGGATGTTAGACAGTGCCAGGTGCCTTCCTCAGAGAGCGTGTCTGTGGTTTCTTTACTCACTGAGCTCTCTGCTGCACAGTTATCAGTTGAGAGCTTTCCTGACCCACACAGTTGGGGTGTTTCTTTCCCCATTCCCCCAAGGGTAGAGCTGTTCCTGTGTGGGAGCAGGCTTCACTCTTCCAGGGCAGTATCCAGACCTGACTCTAGGCACTTGTTTCCCCCTCTGGGTTTTCCTCATTGGTTGCTGTGTTTGGGAGACAGGGGCTATTCCCTCTCTTTGCTCCTGTCCCTGGGGCTGCGGGGGGCTGAGAGGGAGCTGGCCCTGTTTGTGGGGATGCGGGGAGAAGAGGGGCTGTGTCTCAGCCCTGTCCCTAGGGGGAAGGTGGGGAGGTGTCCCTGACTCCCAGGCTGAGTTGGGGGGAGTGGTCCCCAGGTTGGTATGACATGGCAGGAGCTCTCCCTAACCTGCATGGAAGCTGTCCCTGGGTTTGTACACGGTGTGGGGAGCTGTCCCTGATCCCCAGGCCCTAGGGAGGGGGCTGTCCTGGGGTTTGTATGGGGCAGGAGGAGCTGTCCCTGATCCCCAGGCCGCG